ATGGTGTTATGACCGGGGTTACCGGCGTTATCAAGGTGTTCGTTTTTATCCGCGAGGCCGTTGTTGGTGTCGACGACGCAGACGTTTTGCTCATCATGAGCTTGGTCAGCCATGACGGTGATGGTTTGAGTTGAGCTTTGGTCTTTGAGTTTTTGCAAGACGGGGAAGCTAGTTTCCCACAGACGGCGCCACTGATCTTACCTGATCAGACTTGGACCGTCACGACTGGCTCCGAGCTGAAGTTGAACAAGATGGGGGAGATACCTGCAAGGCACTCCGATGCTAAAGTAAGTGGCAGTACGAGCAGGCAAAATGGTGTGTGAATGGTAAGAGAATGAATACCTGACCCTCTTGGAACAGAGGGTATTTATAGCCCCCAGCGTTGGGCCAAGGTCCCTTCATTGGGCCGACCAGGATTGGCCCAATAAAGGAACTGCCAGGCTCTACGTGTGTAGTGGGGACCCGCACGTGGTCTCCTTCCTGGGTGCTCTGCGAGAAGTACGGACGGACGAGGACGCGGTCTTTTCGGAGTTCAGGTGAGGGTGTAACCGTTACAATATGCCCTACGAGGAGGGTGCTCGAGTTGAACTCGAGCTTGATGGTAACTGGTCGAGGACGTTGCGTCCGCGGGCAGTGGCGGGCACGGTCGTAGCTTATGGTCGACGCGCCCCCTGTAGAGATGTTTGGATTGGGCCTATTCTTGCTCTTGGACCAACCTGAGCCCAGCCTAGAACATAATCTAATAAAGGTTCAAAAGGAACAATAACAATCACTCCCTTATTAATGTAGTCTGCGCATATAAGACTGAATAAAAATTGTATAAATCAATTCACACCCATCATACAACATGAGCAAAGCACTATAGAATAGAAAACTATATATGACAGAGACAGTCATTATACTACTACTTTTTCCTGACAAAATAGCTAAAATCATAAACAGAAAAGTGATTGTTGACAAACCGATGAAAGCCATGGTTCATTTGATCTAAGTGATGAGAAGAACTTCAGGGAAATATAGTATAGTAGTTGAAGCTCTTTGCAATGCTAATATGATTCTGGTATGCTATGTGTGACTTTTATAGTATCTCATAAAACAAAACTTAATAAGAACCATTTTGTTGGTTAACTATATCTATCATCATAACCTCAAACTATCTGCAAAGGATTCATCAAGCTTCCTATTGAAAAGCCTGTTGAAGTATTATGCATGTGTCAGGTTCTTGTATACTTGCTTGTTATCTTCATCGATTAACTTTTCAACAGGTCCAATATCTTTAGAGGAATTTGGATAGAAATATGTCACTATTGACAATATTTCCTTCTCCTTATTCAAGACGGCTCAATGCTCTGGTGATTTGTATATTCCACTTGACAATAATCGAAGAACATGCATCATCGAACTTGCAATGAATCAGTATTTGAGGAAAAATTTGAAGCCTTATGAGTCCAAAAATATACAAACCTAAATTATATGGCCAATGTTAACAACAATGGCACCTTCTATTGGTTCAACACTGACCCATTTTCCATCTTTGAGAAACTGCAGTCCTGGAAAATCACCAAAATCAACCAAGAGAGTGATTGCAAAATTGTCGGCATGAGGAATGATCCCGAGAACTCTTTCAGGCTCTGGACAAGGTGGATAGAAGTTCATCCTAAATGTTGGGAAGATCAGTATAAATAAAGGCAGAGTAGAATTTTAAACTCAGCTCTTTCTTGACGTATCAGAGCTAAATGATCTGAAAGACAAGGATACAAAACTTTAGAGATCAGGGAATTCAAATCTGACATAATTGATATTAGCCTACTTTACATTGAGGTTCCAGGTTTATAGGCAATTTACACACAAGTACACCGCTTTTTACCAAGGTTTAAAAAATTGCAAGCAGGTAAAGGCAACAACATACTTAAATGTTACATTCAAATCAATATATAAATGTAGTATTGAGCAGATACTGATTCTGTTTCAGATAATAAAATTAAAATCAGTCCTTGATTTCAAAATGGACTAAAAAGTTGGCTTAGTAAACAAACGAAAATATTTGGCATCTGAGGCAAGTTAGCTGACATTTGTTATTAGCTAGCAAGCTAAGCCACTAAGCATTTATCAGTGGAACATAGAAGATGGTTGATGCAAGAACTGTGGAACAGACCAACCTAATTCTCTGCAGCCTGCACTTGTAAATGAAGAATGCTTTAAACTCAGCAAAGGAATACCAAGTCAACTCTGCAGAATTTTATACTTAGTAACATTTTCCTGCACTCTTTGTATTGACAGTTTGTAATCATAGTAATCATAGTAACTGACTCACCACCAACAAAAAAAAAAACACTACAAAATATAACTAATGTACTTTTCAAAAAAAAAAAATTTACTGAGTCAACAAAAAAAACTAAAATTAATGGCCCATGCAGGTCTCGAACCTGCAACCTTCGCGTTATTAGCACAACGCTCTAACCAACTGAGCTAATGGGCCATTTGTTATAAAATTAAAGACTAAACTTTTTTGTAATGATTCTTTAAATTACACAATGCAAAGAAAATAAAGCAGATTTACGGCGAAACCCGCGGCGGTTGACAGTGGTTCAACGACGGCACCAACTCAAATCAACAAAATCTCAACCTCGACCCCCCTTGTTTTATTACGTAGAGCATGAATCTGGCCTCAGATTTTCCTAACCCTCACTCAAACAACCAGATCGGAGCATTCCTAACTCGAACCTTTAAGTCAACAAACTCATTCGAAAACTCACAAGTAAGGCATGAACAACTTCTAAAACTTCAACCTTACAAAATCCTTCTGAACCTGGACCCTTCAAGTCATCAACAGACTTCTCTATCTCCACCGTCTCCAGTGGAGGCACCACCTTGGAGGAAGTTTTCAACTGAGCTGGTGTTTTCTTAGACTTCTCTGGCTTTCCCTGTTTCTGCATCTCAGCTAAACCTTCACAAATAGCTTGAAGTTTAGCGGCTACAGAAGAAGGAAGAGGCTTATACTCACCAAACTCACCACCAATGCCAATACATGATCCATGGTGTTTGAGATTCGGGAAATTAAGCCTAGCAAAGTCACCACGAAGCTTATAAACAGCTTTGTCGTAAGCCAAAGCAGCTTCTTCTGCTGTAACAAAGGTACCAAGCCAAAGCCTATATCTCAGCAACCCATTTTCCCCGGTATCTTTGCCTCACCCCTTTGTATAGCTTCGTGGATTTTGAAGGAGTATTACCCACGTGCTTCATAGGGATCGGCATTGGACTGAGGAAGCTAAGAGTGTTACTGAGACGTTGTCGTTGATGTTGTTGGTTTTGTTGTAAGATAAAGCTTTGAAGTTGGATTTGTGATTGGATCTGGTTGATTTGAGATGGGGTCAAATGGTTAAGACCAAGAAGAGAAGAAGATGGTTTTTGAACAAAGCCTGTGAATTTATGGCTATCTGATAACAGTGGTAGCAAAATTGAAGAAGGAAAGCGGCGGAGGAATGAATATGAAGGAGGAAGAAGAACACGATGACAAAAACTCAAATTAGTAATTTAAGTTTTAAAATGTTTTCGTTAAAATAAATAAATGACAGGAATAACAAAATGTTTTAATTTAAAAAATATCAAATTGTCAATGCCACATAAGCTTTTTTGGGTGAACTGGTTTAATGAAGGACCAAAATAGTGGAATCTTTAAATGACATGATGGGAATCTAAATTTTTTTTTATGGGGAGGTTTTCAAATCTCGCCCAAATGACAGAGGGCGAAATGGCTATTAACCCATTAATATATGAAAAAGTAAATACACTATTACTATTATACTTCACTATCAATTTCTCATAAGACTTTCATCTAAGATGGGTTGGATATCAGTACACAACTTATGGTACAAAAGACAAAAGTTATTATGATCAATGAAAAAACACAACTTATAAATGGTCATATAGACTCTGTAGCATTATTTACTGCAATATATAACCTTTGAAACTAAGATTTATGTGTTCATGAAACTTCAAATATAGAATGTATGCTTATTTTTCTTCAAAACACCATCCAATCAAGGTTCATCCTCCTCATTTTTTCTTCTCTCTTATAAGCTGCTTGTTTTATTTAGCCATAATTTGTTTTGTCTTTAAAAGACAGCAAAACATTTTACTCAGTACTTAAATATTCGAACACCAGTTGTGCCTGCAGGCAAAAAATTACAACTATTGTGCACTAGCGGCACTATCCCATGCCAAAGAAACTAAGGATCACAAATAAAACACATACCAGTCACTAGCAGGACTGCAGGACTATTGGCCTTAAGCAACTAACGAAAAACAAGTTTCAATAAGCTATGGCAGAAACAGAAAATTTGCACGGCTAGGAGGCTTCTGCCAACACTTAATAAGATCTGTATTCATAATCCACTGCCAAGATCAATACTTCTCATCATTCTTATGATCCAATCTATTTTTACATTTTATTTAATCAGCATAATTAATATAAAAACGCTAAGTTTGAGCAAAAGATCAATGAGAAACGCATAAACTCCACTGCACTAGCAGAACAAAAAGACCACAGAACTATAAAATAAAGACAAGAAAACAGCCCACTTAACCACAAAAACTGAGCCACAACTTGGACAGTCTCAAAAAGCAAGAAAAAAACATGAAAAACATATTGCCTGACACGCGAAAAACCACAAAAAAGCTACATATCAACAGCATTCATGCTAAAAAAAGTCCCAGACCTGACCCTGCTGGACCAAAAATCCCTGACTTGCCCCCTGTCAGTGGGCTCAACAGCAAATGACTAAAATATTAGGGGCGGCAAACATTTAACTAAAATATTATAATTGAAATTGACTAAAAATTATAAAATTTAGATTCAATTTTTTAAAATATTCAAAATAACTAACAAAATAAAAATAGAATATATAAATGGAGATATCCAACCTCAAATTAAAGTACCGCCTTCCGCTCTTTTAAAGACTTGAACTCATCAATAATTGAATCAATTGTGAAGTGTTCAGCTATTCCTTTTCAATGTAAAGCATCGTATTGTCCGTAAGAAATCCATCCTCCGTCTTATTGCACAATGTCTTGATTATCTTCATTGCTGAGAATGATCTTTCTGTAGTAGCTGTAGAAACTGGAAGAGTTAAGATAACATGGATAAGCCGATCAATCAAATAACATGTATTTGTCTTCCCTGTCTTTTTTAGAGCTTGACACAATTCAGACATAGTTGACAAGTTATTTAAATCCGGATGACCAACAACATCAAGATGAAAGTGTTGAAGTTGATATCTCAAATTAATTTTTTCATGCTCACTAAAATCTGTAGAATAGAATTTATCTACAAGAGCACATATATTATTCAAATCAAATGCTTTGTAAATATCCTTAGGAACCAAACTATTGCTTAGACTTAAAAGCTCCATTGTTTCTCACAAAACCTATGATTCAATTCTTGTAGTTGTTGATCGATTGTAACACAAAAGAGATCCACTCTTAAATGTTGACCCGCGGTAATGTGATCCATTTGATGGCGCGCACGACCTTCACGCTCTATATAAACTGCATTACAATTAAGAGAATCAATATCATGTTTTTCACAAAATAATCTTACATCTTTCAATAAGTCATCCCATCCATCTTCTCTCAACTTTTGAATTAATGTCTTCGTAATCGTGACTAACTGCATAGCATTAAGTATATCTATAAGCAGCATTAGCATCCCCGCGTGTAGCATAACTTCTCCCATTTTTTGTAATATTTGCAAGAACCACACAAGTTGGATTATGCAAATCTATCATACTACAAACAAAAGAAAATGTGAGCTCCAACGTGTATCTCATACACTAGGTGAGTAACATAGAAGTTCTAGTCTTCAAGAATCAACCTCATTGTGTGTTAGCCATAGCCACCAAGTCTCTATCTATGGGAAACGTTTTAATAGTCAACTAAATAGAGTTTTTCCTTTTAAAAATAGACATAGAAACATAAAGAGACCATTTTACAAACTACATCAGCCTTTACACCTTACATCAACACAAAGCAAGATTTTCTTTTAAAAATAGACATAGAAACATAAAGAGAGACTGCAGCAGCACCAAATTCAAAACAGCAGCAAGGACACTGCAGCACCGCATCAAATACCATTGATTACATGAACATATATAGAGTGGATTTTTTAAAAATGAAAATAAAATGTTACTTACTTTTTGACTTTCTGAATACAAAATGATACTCCCTGCATCATAATTTCCTAATTGATTAAGCTCAAATTGATGAAGCTGTCTTTTATAAAAGACATTTGTCTAAAAGGGGCAAAATGAAGAAAGAAAAGGGTTGGCATTGCCATTGCAAACATTGAATACTACATACATCAGGATTTTAGCGACACTTGCAGCGACTACAGTTAAAAAATATATATATATAATCAGAAATATTAGGATGACAAACAATTTCAGCTCCAAAGAAACTGGAGGATAAAAAATGAACGAAATCAGAGCAAGGGTTTAAGGGGGAAAATAGTTACAGGTCACTCACCGAGCTTTTAATTGAGCATCCTTCTCTTCTCAAGTCGAGAGAGGAATTCGGTTTCCAAGTTAGAGAGGGCGAGACGGTTTTGGTGTTTGTTTGATGAGAGCGCCAGAGTGAATTTAGATTCACGAGCCTAACAGGGAAATTTAATTAACATATATTCATTTTGATCGGTAAATATTTTCTTTTTAAATTAATTGAATAATGAATATATTTAATATTTTATGTAGATCAAATATATTTATTATTTCATGAATCTTAAAAAAAAAAAAAAATTTGCTTATCATAATGGCTGGAGGAAGTATACACGTATCAACTATCTCTTTGGGTATCACTAATCTCCTTAAATTATCCTTCTTTAACAAATTAATATACACTAAAGTATGCCCATGAATATAAATGACAAAAATGAAATTTTTTTGATAATCATATTACTCTATGCATCTAGGTGGCAGAAGAATGCCAACGGCGGAGGGACGGGTGAAGCATGTGATTTGCACGTCGTCGTGGTTAACACGCGTTTGAACGGTAGGGTTTGAATTCTACGGTGGTTTCGAGTTGTGTCGTTGATGGTGGTGAATATGGCTTTTCCGATTGCTAGTTATATTTTTCCACTAAGTTATGTCTTCCATGAATAAACTGATTTGTGTTTTTACTTAGAGTTTCGTGTTGTTTGAGTCTTTTATGGGTGTTTAATAAGCTGGTTTCGTGGTATTTTTTCCGCTTATATGAATCATGGTGTTTGGGTGTTTAGGTGTTTAATGGTCTTTTATGAATAAGCTATTCTACAAATAAGTTGTTTCTCATTGTTATGAATAAGTTGTTTCACCCAATATGCTCTTTTTTTTTATGAATTACATGTTTTATGAATAAGCTCTTTTTTTCAGTTATGAAAAAAATGTTTTTTATTTTTTTTATGAAATACATGTTTTATGAATAAGCTCTTTTTTTTAGTTATGAAAAAAATGTTTTTTCAATTATGAATATGTTGTTTTATCAATAAATTATTTTATGAATAATCTGTTCTGTTTCTTTTATGAATAAGTTGTTCCACGAAAAACAGTTTAGTGGTGAGCGGAGGTCGGCAAAGCGCACAATGGTTGATTTGCAGTTTTTGTTCACTTCTTCTTTTCCTTGGTACAGTCGAAATTGGCAAGAAATGCATACTGGTGTTCGTTTCTTCTCTAAGCTCTTTCATCCTTTGAATTTATTGTTGTTGTTTTATTTATGTTGTTCTATTTTATTTAGTTTCAGTGTTAACTTTTAGAGGAAGGAGATGATCCAATAATAACATCTACATCATATGGCAACAAAATTGTCTTTCGTGTCCAATACATGGCAACCTGATTTTATTTTATAGGGACATGTTGGTCATGGGGACTACCGCCCAAGCTGTGGATCTGCAATATTGTCAAGACCTTCTTGGAGTTGACCTGCACCCCGTAGTTTTTCTTCGCACAGGGTAAGTTTTGTGCTTTGTTGTGTGTGTATGGTGATGAATGCAATTGGTGTTTTGAATTTTTGTTCACATCCATACTTGCATCAGTTTACATTTACCCAATTAGAATATTGGTTCCTTCATATGAACTGCAATTGATGCTGAATAAAATAATATTAATTCAAATGCTAAATCTGATGTCAAGGGAAAAGGAACAGACAAGGTATTTTATGGGCTTGACGACATTACTCACGCAATTGAAATCATCATTGTAAATTTCCTTTCATCTATTTTTCCTATCCCTCTCATTTTGCTGGAAACCTATAAATGAAAACTTCAAAAAGATATTCTTGAAGATATCATGTGTGCTCATATTGTTTCATTTATGATGTGTGTGTTCCTTCTAAGATCTTAGGTAGGTGTGAATTTTTCCGAATACTAATTGTTTGTGTGTGATATTGTCTTTGTTTGTTCTGAAATGTTGGCGGCGAGAAGTCAAAGATTAATATAATTCATTTCTTTTAGGTTGGATGACTTGAAGTACTTCAAGAAAGTTAATGACATGTGTTGTACCCCAAAATTTTCCCTCCCATTTTCATCAATATTTTCTCACCACAAGACCCTTGGAGCTCAAGATCAAGTTAGGGTTTGCTCTGCTCAAGACTTCTCCTTGCACTGTTAACCCAAATTAGGGTTTGAGTTTGCACAAAGATGTTTTGACCTAAAATGCCCAAAATGACTTTCATGCTTCATGTTGGACTCACAAGTTTATCCATACCAAGTTTCAAGCCTTGATTCCAATCTTTGCCCAGTCAATTGGACAGTTGACCTAGAAATCAGCTGTATTGGGGAAAAAGTCAACTGTGGTCAATTGACAGTCAAACCTCATGATTTTTGACCCACATCAACATTATGAACTCATATGGACCATTTGATCAAGTTTGGATCACAATTCCACAAGAAATTTGATCAGATCACCAAAAGGGCAAAATGGTCATTTTTAGGGTTTTGACTGCACAAAGGCAACTTTTGACTGTTTGACCTAGCCAATGGCAAACCAAACTCACATATGGGCTCAAGGATTCAATGGCATGGTCTTGACACATTCAACAAGTTCAAAAGATCCCAAATGCACAAGATTGACAGATGAATTTTCCAGTCAACTGATCCAAATTTGACTGTATACCGAAAAGTCAAACTTTGACTTTTTGGTCAAAATCAAATGCTAAGATTCATTTTCCATCAAGACATGTCAAATTATGAAACTTGTTCATCAAGAAATCAAAAATTACAAATTAGGGTTTGAAATGAAGAAATTTCATAACTTAGAAATTTTCTAAGTTATGAAATTTCCTAATTTTTTCCTAACTTTGTCCCCTTTTTTCATCAAGATGTATTTGGATTCAAACAAAACTCAAAACATGAAAGTTATAGTCCATTGAAAAATCTACAACTTTGATTCACAAAGTTTCCTCAAAAGAAGCTTGTAGCTCAAGTTATGATTTTTGGAATAGGGGTGCAAAACATTCTTAACTTAGAAATTTTTTGACCTATTTTAGGCAGGATTTTTGCCCAACTTCATGGCCACTTTTCACATGCTTCCACTTGGAATCTCAACTTGCATTACAAAGATGGATTGTAGTACACATTCCAAGCTTTCCAAATTGTCCAAGAACTTCTCAAACACCCTTGTGGTTAGGGAGAATCGAATTTGTAAAGATGGGCAAAAGTCACTTTGTTCATGGCCAAATTCATGTACATAACACTTTGCATTTTCAAACTCAGCTTGCACAAGCTAGGTTACAGGCCTCCAATCCCATTAACACTCAATAATTCAATGCTAAACCTTTGTGCCAAGATGTTATTTTACTCATTTGGTCATTACACAAAGGATTAGTCTTAAAATAGAAAAAGCATTTTAGCCATTCTTGTAAAGAAGCACTTTATGTCAAGATCACAATCTAAGAAGTACAAAGCAGATCTTTTGGGCACAAGTTCATGAACTAATTCCACTGATCAAGAGTGATTTGTGCAGCATGCTTGAGGGGCCTGTATGAGCCTACAATCTAACTTGACAACTCTTGCTTTAGATAAGAAGAAAAACTTGCATTTTGTAGCATAATACACCTTACTGCAAGAACCAACTCAAGCAAACTTTGTGAACACATTGCATACTCTCTAACCAACCAAGAACACGAGCCATTAACCCTCAATACATCCTCATCCATCAAAGCCCATTTTTTCTGCAAAACAGAGTCCCTGTTGCAGATTGACTTGGCCAGTTCATTTCCCTCGTGCGTTTTCATCCAAACCAGTTCAAACACATCCTACATCATTCCTACAAACTATCCCAAGCCTTGGAAACAGACTGTAACACCCCTAACCAAGTTTGCCATTTTCATTTTTGTAATTGCAAGTTTCTCAAGTCATATTTAAAGCATGTGTTTTGATGAAGAC